TGGCGATCGAACCTCATTTTGTGCGAAAGGGTTTGCGGGACGAATGTACACACAGACGCATTTACACACTAACACTTCTACACACAGACGCTTTTACACACAGACGCTTTTACACACACACACACGTGTTTACACACAGACGCTTTTACACACAGACGCTTTTACACACAGACACTTGTACACACAGACACTTTTGCACACAAAGGTTTTACACACAGACGCTTTTACACACTAGCACTTTTACACACGGACGCTTTTACACACAGACGCTTTTACACACTAACACTTCTACACACAGACGCTTTTACACACAGACGCTTTTACACACACGCGCGTTTACACACAGACGCTTTTACACACAGACGCTTTTACACACAGACGCGTTTACACACAGTTTTACACACAGTTTTTGGCGATCGAACCTCATTTCGTGCAAAAGGGTTTGCAGGACACCTTGCAAATCGCAAATTTACCTCAGTTTTTGACGATCGAACCTCATGTCGAGCGAAAGGGTTGCTCGGGACAAGTTGAAATCGCAATTTTACCTCATTTTTTGACGATCGAACCTCATTTCGTGCGAAAGGGTTGCGCCGGACGACTTGCAAATCGCATTTTTACCTCAGTTTTTGGCGTTCGAACCTCGTTTCGTGCATAAAGGTTGCGCGGGACACCTTCAAATCGCAATTTTACCTCAGTTTTTAGCGATCGAACCTCATTTCGTGCGAAAGGGTTGCACCGGACAAGTTGAAATCGCAATTTTACTTCATTTTTTGGCGATCGAACCGCGGGACGACTTGCAAATCGCAATTTTACCTCAGCTTTTGGCGATCGAACCTCATTTCGTGCGAAAGGGTTGCGCGGGACCGGTGGAAATCGCAATTTTGCTTCAGTTTTTGGCGATCGAACCTCGTTTCGTGCGAAAGGTTGCGTTTCGTGCCGTCTCGTTGGCACTGCCCCTGCTCCCGCCTTCAAAAGAGAAATAGAAAAGAAGGAGAGGGCAAGAGGGCAAGAGGGCAAGAGGAGAAGATGTGAGATGAGAAGGTGTGAAGATGAGAAGATGTGAGAAGATGTGAGAAGATGTGAGAAGATGTGAGAAGATGTGAGAAGATGTGAGAAGATGTGAGAAGATGTGAAGATAAGAAGATGTGAAGATGAGAAGATGTAAAAATATGTGAAGATGTGAGAAGATGTGAAGATGAGAAGATGTGAAGATGAGAAGATGTGAAGATGAGAAGATGAGGAGAAGATGAGCAGATGAGGAGAAGATGAGAAGATGAGGAGAAGATGTGAGGATGAGAAGATGTGATGATGAGAAGATGTGAAGATGAGAAGATGTGAAGATGAGAAGATGTGAAGATGAGAAGATGAGGAGAAGATGTGAGGATGAGAAGATGTGAGGATGAGAAGATGTGAAGATGAGAAGATGTGAAGATGAGAAGATGTGAAGATGAGAAGATGAGGAGAAGATGTGAGGATGAGAAGATGTGAGGATGAGAAGATGTGAAGATGAGAAGATGTGAAGATGAGAAGATGTGAAGATGAGAAGATGAGGAGAAGATGTGAGGATGAGAAGATGTGAGGATGAGAAGATGTGAAGATGAGAAGATGTGAAGATGAGAAGATGTCTTACAGACCCCCACTATTGGAAGAACCCTGCGCTCAGACGCTCTCGGGAAATAATGCCCTGATTCAGGGAGCAACAAACGAAGCAAGATCGGCTCTTTGTGTGGCCCAAGCATCTCTTCTCAGTGGGCTGCAAGAAGCCCATCTCCATTGGGAAACGATTCTGTGAACATGGCAGCTTGTTGTTGCCGAACAGTTGCCCGTTGTTGCCCAAAAACGTCACCCTTGTAAGAGATGCTTCGGTTTGCAATGGACAATTTGATGGACACTTCACCAAGAGCCACAAGTCTCATCTGACTGTCCTTAAATCGTGCCACTTCTTCTTCCATGAAATGCATTCTTCATGTTCGCAAGTTTCCATGATGTCCCGTAATGTTTCTGATCCAATGAGACCAGATGCCGCGCCTGGATCAATGAGCAAGCCACGCCGCTTTTCACCTTGACAGAGTGGTGGGTGGCATTGCTGCGACACCCATTCAAAAACAGGCTGTTGTTATTCACCGTCCTCTGCATTGTTGGCTGCAGAAGATCTTGCTCACTTGTGACCCAAAAGGTCTTCTCCAGAATCCATTCTGTAGAAAGTGGCCTGTGCCAACATGGCTTGTGAGATCGCGGTTGCAGACTGAAGGACGTCCTTCTTGACATAGCTGATGTTGAGAGAGCCACGTGACCGTGGATATCCTTCGTACTCCGGATCTCAGCATAGTACTTCGACTTGCCTTCCTTGCCGTAGCTCTTTCCACTGTAGCCTTTTCCCTGCTTCCTTTCCATGAGCCATACGATCTGTAGCCAAAACCTTTGCCCTTCTTGCCATGGCCCTTGGATGACGGTCGATAGTTGTTGAAAACCGTTTCCGCCACCACGTCCGTAGCTTTTGCCCTTGCTGTGATCTGGGACATTTACTGGGCATGAAGACACAGAGTGCCACAGATGTGGCATCCACCCATGACATTCTTTCCCTTGTTGCGGCCTTGTAGTAGTCTCCACAATGGGTTCAGCATGCTGCTCCCATGACTCATCTATAGTACTGGTCGTAACCTGCGTCTGGCCGACATTCATCACAGTCTTGGTAGTAACCTTCATATGAATCTTCGTGGATCCTCATATGAATCTTCTTCGTAGAAAGTTTCTGATCCAGTCCAGGACTTTGCCATTCTTCAGACTAGTACTCATCGGCCGTGCCATGGTGCTCGGCATCCTCGTAGAAAATGTTCTCTCCGCCTTCTTGTCCACGTTGGCTGAGGCGCCGCCAGCGACCCGGCATGAAACCTGGTGAGATCTCCAGGACTTGTAGGGCAAAGCAGAATGCTTGAACCATAGTCTCTGGCTCGTCAAAGCACATGTCCCATTCCACGGCATGCTCCTGCAGAGACAGCCTTCCCCTTCTGAACTCAAAGAAGACTTCAAAGTGCTTTGCTGACAAGGTCTTGATCACTTTGTCCAAACGCATCATGAAAGCATTGCGTAGCGCTTGAACTGCAGGATAATGTTGTTGTCATTGGGATCTCGAACTTCATCCACACTGAGGCGCGCTAGGGCTTGGCCGCCCACATCATAGCCACCGTCTAGTCTGATGAGCCTTGGGTTGGTTGCCAGCTTCTGTGCGCGGCCAATCAAATGTCCGGCAATGAGAGGGCCGACGATTTCATCTGCTCCATCAAAAACGTTGCACCAAATGCGAAGTTTCTCAAAGTAAGGCCTCAGAGTGTAGTCTGGGATGTTCGGACCCCAGCCAGCGGGGCTTCTCTCCTGGACTCAGTCAATGGGACCGACCCTGTTGAGGAGCCAGGTTGCTGCATCGTTGCTGTGGGAAAGCCAGTGAACAAACTGGAATGTCGCAAAGAATTCAAAAATGATGTGATTCAACTGCAAGAAGCGCAAAGCACCAGCGCACTGCTCCAACCAGTGGCCTCCAACAATTCAGGGAGATAGCGGCCACCAAGGATCTCAACAAACTCCAAGCCTTTGGCAAACACAGAGTTGTAGTGGCTAGTGCTCAAGAAATTGCCAGTCTTAGCTTCAAAAAAAACGCCTGTCGTGACGTGTACACAGAAATGTTCTAAATAGCCCGAATGCAGCAAGTTTGACGTTCCTGGAAACCTGACGGGCCATCTGTCACCTGGCTCTGTCATCTGGATCTTTTTACGGGGGAAGCCGCTGGTATCAAGCAGATCAAAACCAGAGTCCGGAAAGGGCTTGATGCAGCTGGTGCAAAATGCACTTGGTGATGCTAGGAGACACCGTTGCTGACTGTTTGGAAGGGCACAAGACACTCTCAAACCTGCTGGGAAGGTCAAGGCGCAATCCGAGGCGAGGCACTCTCTAGCCTGCAGGGGGCACAACGCGGTTGGGGAGCTCAAGGGTGTCTAATCTGCAGGGACCAAGAATTGGTGCCCAAAAGCTGCGGCAGCCGCTGAATGTGGATGCGCAGCGGGGCAACCAATATTGCAAACCGGAACTTCTAAACAGGCTCGGATGCCAAACTCCGCAAAGCGGGGGGCTTCGTTTTGTGCCAGCTCAAGGCCTGCGGTATTTGATGAATATGTCAGTGCTATACATGCATGAAACTTCACTGTCATGAGGCGTAATGCCATTCCAGTTAAAACTAGCTATATTTCTATTGACCTCTTGATTGTGCAAGTAGCTCCTTCCGTGCTCAGCTGCAAGACTTGTCGGGAAAGGTGAATGCTGCTGCTCACAGTTCCTACTTCTATTGTCGCTTCCCACCCTTGCCGCCCATCCAGCTTAATTACCCACCTCACGCAACTTAGCTTGGTCCAGCGCAGCTGAACAAAGACACACCAAAGCGAAACAACACTTGTCCATTGGCTTGCTGAACAAAATTAAAAGGCGCTGAAAGCACACCACAGATTTCGAACATTTCTTTTTGCACCGAGATATACTTTATACTTTCCACACCTTTCATATAAAACGCTGGGAAGGTCACAAAGGGGTACCCCTCGCAAGCCGGTGCCCCTCCCAGTGCCAGAAAAGACTGGGTCCCCCTAATTCATCAATACCCTCTTGCCCTGCTTTGTCTCATGAAGCCCTGCAAAGGAAACAAATAATAGGACTTGCAAGGAAATGGGAAACAATATTTGAATGAAAACCTGAAACTAAATCTGATAAGAAATTGCAATTGATATCCAAGCGGAAATTCAAAAGGCCACCTGATAGGAAATCAAAACTTGAAGGTTGCGAAATGAAGTTGACTTCATGATGGGCTCCCTTTTTGGCGCTGATTATTTGAAGAGTGGGCAACCCCCAAAGCTATCCAAAAATCCTCAACCTTCTCATCCTTGCAGCTGGGGTTTGTCACTACGACGGACATCACAGAGGATACAAACATTCATCAAACAGAAGCTAGCACAAGCAGC